AGTGTCGTACTTAGTCACTACAACACGACAGGCAATTCCCCGTCAAGATGCAGGGCTCTCATCGCATACGAGCTCTCATTCCTCGAGCTTCTCACTATTGCCGTTGAGATCATTCTGGTCATCAGAGGTGTGCCTCGTCATTCCGCCGATCTGCCGATGCTGATGTGGGAGGCAGTCTTCGTGTTGTACAAGCAGAACAGAGTGCTGAAGGCCTTCATCATAATCGCCTTCGCTGCAGAGATCATCTGCATGATGGTCTTCATCAGCTTCGTCATCAAGGGACAGACATTCACGTCCGACTGCCTTGCCGCGACGTCACCTCGAATATTCATCGGCTACTGGTCAGTCATGTCTTCCCTGTAACCTTGAACGTCTCACCAAGTCTCGATATAGGCTGAGCTCTCTGGTCTTCGAGACGTTCCTGTTTGTGCTCACACTTGCGAAATGCTATCGCGGGAACCTGAAGAGGAGGATTGCTCGCCGACGATCTGTCATGTTTCTGTTCTTGCGGGACGGTACATGGGCATTTGCGCTTATATTTGGTGAGTCCTCACACATACGCTCCGTCTCTATTCCACAAGGCTCACGATTCTCTACAGTCGCCATGCTGCTCAACACCTTGATGTATCAGCTCAATACAACTCCAAGAGCTGGCATCGGCTATCAGTACGTCTTCCTCCAGTCCGGCTTGGATACCCCGCTGACTCTGCCGTAGCTGGGAACTTGCAGTCCTATCTTTCTCTGTACGTAGCTCCAATGACGTGCATTATCTGATACTGACTGAGCGGCCTATCAGGGCTCGCATGTCATCCTCAACATCCGACGACTGGCGACCCCAGAGTATCTCTCGCAGACGGAGGTATCGTCCCTGTGGGATTGTGCCCCAGACGTGACCCCCGAAAACACAATACACGAATGCAGCAGAAACCGGCTTTTGGCTGCGATCGAGTCGTAGAGACTGCCGCGGGCAGTGGTGCCTAGAGCGCGGTAGTGGGGACGTTCCGTGTTTCAGAGGTTCACGTGGTTTGGTCTCCTGGTGAGCTTTAACGGTACTCTGGATCATGGACTTGTACTCGCCGTCTTGGACCAAAGTAGACTAGTGCTACAATGGAGGCTAATCTAGACGTCGTTACTAAGTGTACGCGTGCACTTGTAAAGACGTTCAGGTGGAGACATGACGTCGTCCTTGTACTCTGGCTGAAAGGCTGATGTCGGGAACTGGTGAAGCAATACGATTCAAAATACACTCATGCACAAGTTTCAGGCCCTCAAAGTCCATCCTGCTCGCGATGCCTCAGTGCAGTAGCCGGACTACACGACTCTGGAACTCACTTTTCCCCGTCAAAGAGCTCGTGGATTCTCGCTTTTATGGTATGCCTCTGTTGTATACGGAGGGTGAAGGTACGACGTCTGCGATTTGACCCCACCGGACATGATGGTACCTTATACGGTCGCAAGCCCGAAATCACTGGAGTTTTTGGTTGATATTTGCCGCAGTGCGTCGGCCTTCTCAAGCCTTTTCAAACTGAGTTCAGTCACGGAGCTTCAAGGAAGATATGGGTAGCGGCGTGAAATGGCCGAACCGGTGGGCGTTCAGCTGTCTTTCCATAATCGCCAAGTACTGACAAAGGGTAAAGCGAGCGTGTCATTGCATTACTGTCAAGTGTACAAGCTCTATCAAATATGGTCTTCTCGAGCTCGAGAGCCGACATGAGACAGTCGTATTATCCGACCACATCACTGATAGCATCGTATTAGTTCAACAGCCAGAGACGGAAAGAGCCACCTCTCACCTTACGTCCGCCCAGGGCCCGAAGAATGTAAGTTATGAAATGCGGGAGTCTAGCCTACCCCGCATCTGCTCAGGAGACCTCCGATGCATGCTTAACTTCCGGCTGAAGGGAGCGCCTCCCAGATACATATAAAAAGACGCACTTCAGGCTGGTAGGTTCGGCTTCAGCAACATCAAGCCATTCGCCACTACCAGAGCCTTCACACACTCGTCAGCCTGATATAACTATGATTAAAGCCACTGCACTCATCGTCCTCGCCGCGTCCTTGTTCATTTCGCCATTTGCCGCGGCGCAGTGCACGTCAGGTGGCACGCGCCTGTGCTGCCTCAGCCTCGAGCCCTTCAGCGACAACGCATATGTCTGGAACAATGAATGCGGCATCCAGGAGAGCGACGAAAGCATCCTTGTCGGCTCGTTCTGTGACGAAAGCAGCGGTACATGGTAAGTCTGTCGTGGTCCTTGACCGTGCTTGTGCTGACTATTGACCTTGTCTTGTAGCCCCGAGGAATGGTATGACATCTGCTGCGAATCGACTGCAGGTTAGTGATTTGGTATATACTTGTCAACGCCCTTTCCTGACAATAGTCGCAGTTTGCCAATCTGGTGTCGACGGACCAGTCGGTCTCAACTGCTCCAGGAATTAATGTGTTGCTATGTCAACAGTTAGTACATGTTTTACCGGAGATTTCTTCACGTCGCGGGTGCTTACTGCAACACATTACCTTCCAGATCCTAAATAGCCTCGCCTTGATTCGTGCTTCGTCATCAAGCAACAGGATGTACTGGTTAATGAAATATATCTTCCCAGATACTCGGGCGCATCAAATCCAACGTTGACTTATCTGTAGTATGCCAGCTGGTCTCCACTGCAAATTTGTAATACACAAAGTTATCAGTCCCGAAGATCAAGAGGAGCAGAGCGAGGCCGGCCGTCCGGTTCGTTGAGGGAAGGACTCCCGCTGAGGGCCTCCGTGGAAGACTACAACAGCAAAAACGTAAGAGTCCTGAAAGATAAGATAGTGCGAAATAATCCCTACAGCCCTCGCAACCGTGTTCTACTACTTGCAGCCGGTCGTTTCGCCTAGACCATTGTGCGCATTACCGTAGGTACCTAGGTGTATCACGTCGCAGAGGGTACCTCGTATAACCATAAATCAGAACCACGACACCATGTGATGGTCTTGCATTCTCGTCGAGGCTCACGAGCCGATTGGCGGAAGTGGAAAGTGAAGAGAATGGAACAAGGCCAAGAGGCGTAAGACCATCACACTCATCAGATGGCGGTGGCGCGTTGGTTGAGCGCTGGGTACTGGGGAAGCCACTGAGAAGTGCCAACAACGACCGTACTCTACGCGGATGGCAAATCCTGACGTTTACGAGCTTTTGAGCTTGTCTTCTTCGAAGGCCTTCACGACCTCCGCTTCCCCTTATTCGAGGCTCCGTGATGACTTGTCAGCGCCTCGCGAAACGGCAAGCCCACGACTCGACGTGAGCCGCGAGCCTAGCGCTGCATCTCAGCGGCATGGCGGGAATGCGCGAGGCATGAGTGCAACTCCTATCCAGCTGAAAGTAAACGGGGCACCAAGTAAGTAGTGATATAGCTGCCGCAATGTGTGAAACATGCGCTGATCGTACTGTTGAAGTCAAACCTTGCCCAGATAGTGTTCTTGAGCATGACATTGCCCTCATGAACCATGCCATTCGTGCTATACTCAACAAAGGCAATCCGAGACCACTGGATGTCTCATTCAAAAAAATACAGACATCCTGCCAAGCGATCGTATGCAATGCACGCCAAGGTGAAGCTGTAGTCCAGACACTCGAGGCTCAGCTAGAGTGGTGTTGCCAGAACATTCTAAGAGACCTGAGTGATAAGGAATCAGCTGGAGTTGCCTGGCTTGAGCCATTTGTTGAAATGTGCCAGTGGTTTGAGAAACAAATTGTCAGTCTTAGGCTCTCAGCCTCTTGTTAAGGCCCGGAAATGACTCACATCCAACTAGACACTCTTGGCCGCCCTCCTTTCATCCTTGAATAGTGTTCACTTGAGGAACACTAGCAAAGGAAGTATCAAGTATGTCCAGTGTACCATTAGCTTTGGGCATGTCAAATTGATGTTCTTCAGGACGCTGGCATATACAGCCTTTCATAGGCATGTCTTTGCTGTTGGAACAATAGTGCAACACATCCAATCCGGTATTCTTGATTGGGTCTCCTGGGAACGTGACCATGAGCAAGAACACAGCTCGCGGCCTCTCATTCGAGCTCTTATTGAACAACTTCAGCACTTTGGGTTGTATAACTCCCTCTTTGAGAGCTTCTACTTACAGAAAACCCACGAGCTGTATTTGTCAAAAGGCGTAAAGGCGAGGCAGGACTTGGATCCACAGCCATTTATTCTCCAAAATGGAGAATTTGCAGCCGGAGAGGAGAGTCGGGCTAAGGCTGTGTTGCCTGACATCAGCATCAGCAAGGTCTCTCGTGCGACAGATACGGCCTTTCTGGCACCTCACGCAGACTGGGTGGTAATGCCAGGTATGCTTTGTTTCATGCAATATTTACACTCGACGCTGACTGCAAGGGCTTGCTAGCGTTGAAGAAACTCATGCCTGGTCCAGATATAGTGTATCTACAACACATGTACCGACTATACGTCAAGATAGGCTGCTTGTCAGTTCTGGCGGCTGCTCTCAGGCTATACGTCAAGGTATGAAGCTGTGATGCTGATACCAACTGGATAATAACAATGCAGATGACAGGATTTTGTCTACGGCATCTTCACAGATGGCCGGCCTGATGATCAAAGAGTTGCCGCACTGTTCACTCAAAGGAAAGCATACTTTGCAGTGCTTGACAATGCCTTCTATGATGAAGTCCCTATTTTGCCTTCAATATTTGTGGCTTCCTCAGGTCCCTCTCCCGAAACACGCGTCATAGAGTGTGTTCCCAACCGTGAGCTTGCCTCTGCAATCCTAGATGGGATTGGAGAAGGTCTGAAGGCAAGTCCCGATAAGTTCGCGGAGTTGCTCGCAAATTATCTGCACAAGACTCTCCTGCGTGGACCAAAGGGGAGAGATGTGGCAGATTATCACACAGATCTGGAAGTTGTGCTTTCATTATACTGTTTCACCAACAGCAAGGACGTCTTCCGGATCTACTACCACCGGACTCTTGCAAAGCGTTTGCTGCTTGAGTCATCTGCCTCGTTGGAATATGAGAGGTTTGTATTAGCGAAGCTCAAAGAAGGTGTGTTCGCACACGAACAGCTTGTATGTTGGCTATTGACAACAACAACGCAGACTACGACCCCATGTTAGGTGTAGGCAATGGAATGCTTGCGGACATTGCCCATTCCAAAGAGCTCAGTCTCGAATTCAAGGAGAAGCGACTGGGGCACCCGACGCTGTCAATTTTTGTGCTGAAGCACACTAACTGGCCATTTGCTCTGCATAAAACCAAGGTGGTCCTACCAGTCTGGGTGCGTCAACTCATGTCTCTCTTCGTGCGAATGCCTTCGACTAACTTGCTTGAGCTTGCTGGTAGATGTCTATCGAGCTAACAAAATACAAGCGATTCCATAAGGATAAGTACGAGAACCAGGTTATTGAATGGGACCATGCACTCGGTTATGCCACGCTCATTGGGAATTTTGACTTGGGGTCGAAGGAGCTGAGCGTTGACCTTCTTCAAGCGGTCGTCCTCCTGTTATTCAACGACACGGAGGAGATACCCTTCCAGGGTATTGCAACACGGACCAAGATCGGTACGTTTTCAGCTGTAGTGACTTCAACCAGCTGACGAGCATCTACTATAGAACAGCCCGAGCTTCGCCGAATTCTCCAGAGTCTCGCTTGCGGAAAGAAGCGCATCCTGAGGAAGCGGCCCGCAGGAAACGAGGTTAACGGCTATGATATCTTCTCGTTCAACGCCAAATTCTCGGACCCTGAGTCCCGGATACACATCAACCCTGTGCCGGTCACGGTAAAGGTGAGCAACGCCTTCCATCAGTGTGCCCATACGATCTTGATGGCCGTGTCCGACTAGACAGAAGAAGCGGACCAGGCGGAGGAAGGCGTCCACACTGAGCACAAGTACGCGCTCCGTGCCGCTATTATACGAGTCATGAAAGCCAAGAGAAAGCTTTCCCGCGAGCAGCTCGGAGCCGCTGTGGCCGAGGCTGGAATTTCGAAGTTCTTCCCCCCGCCGAGTGTTGCGCTCATGGACGAGTGCATCGAAGGCCTTGTGCGGGATGACTACTTGGGAAGAGCTGCTGATGCTGAGTCGAATATGCTGCACTACAACCCGTACTGAAAATTTGGTAGTAGTTTTGTCGGTATGACCTGATATATCAGATAGATTCAGGGCTCGAACCCGCCTTTAGTAGTCTCAGTCGCTTGGTGTGCCCGGCCATCATCCAACGGATCACTAACGTGGCAGAAGAGAGGCTCTTGGGTTCACCGCTCAGCCTCACAGAACGCAGAACAGTACACCGAGCTGCCATATGATCGCTTTACGAGATGAAGCAACAACACGACCAATAGCAGAGTTGCATCACGTCTACAATTTTGCACTTCTTGCAGAGACTGTCATCGGACGAGCATAACGCTTGAGGCCCGCTTTTATTCCTACCTTGCACGGGTGAGTCGGCCTGTATGTGCGCAGCTAATTGACTCATTATTTTCCGGAGGTCTGCATATGGAGCACTGCCGTGTGCAAGAGCAACCCGAGAAGTCTATGTACGTACGTCTGTCACCGTCCCGCATGCTTCACGGACAAAAATTACTTGGCATATGGTGTCCAGGCCTCCTCTCAAGCGTTGACCAGCACGTATGCGCACCTAGGCGCTGCTGCGCGCTCTCACGAGTCCGAGTCACATTGCCCAAAGACGCAGCGGCGCTGCTGATGGCGCATCAAACTCTCTCGAAGCGACGGCAACGCGAGCTCGATGTCTACGAAAAATTTGATGGCATCCCGCTTTTACTCCGGACTGCGTGCTGTCGTTGCTGCACTCGCTGCCGCAATATTGCAATTCAGCGCAGGTAGCGACGAGGCACGTTCCTTGAGCGAGTCAGCTCTCCGGAAAAGGCTCGAGCAGCGCGGCCACAACAGCCCGCACGGCCTCTCAGTGGGATGCTCACCGAGAGTATAAAGGCTTCGCAGGAGCTCTGCGATTCCTCAGAGCCAGTTCTACCCAGCCTTCTCTACTAGCCCAACCTCAGCAAGATGTTCACTCGCGTTCAGTTCGTCACTCTCGCTGTCTTTGCGGCTATCTCTGCTGGTAAGGCATCCGAGCTCCAGCTGGTTGACTTGATGTGACCTGAGTTCGTGATAGTGCGTGCGGCCTTGCCAGCCAACTGTGCTCGCAACTACACTGTCCACCTCTTCGACACCTGCAATGAAATCTCCGCTGACCTCAACGTCTCCACGTGAGTTGGCCTAACAGGAGTCCTCGATGTCATACCACTGATTTTGTTTTCTGGGGTTTCAGGTATCAGCTTGCGCTCGTCAACCCCCAGATTGATGCCGGCTGCGACAATCTCGGTGAGGGCGAGGTAAGTCCGGTTGTTCACGCCACAGTTCTGGCCAACGTGCTGACAACGGCGTCCAGCCGCTCTGCCTGGGTATCACGGGCCAAGACTGCACGACGACCTATGTTATCCAGACCGGCGACAATTGCGACCTGATTACGACCAACGAGAATGTCGCCCGCAGCACCCTGCTGGCCAACAACCCGAACGTCAACAGCGATTGCAGCAACATCTATCCCGGAGAGGTGCGCCGAGCTTCGTTCGTGTGTTGCGAAGTACTAACGATGTCTGATTATTGCGATGATTAGGTCTTGTGCACTGCTAACACTGTTGTTCCCTACACGTCTTGAAATACCCAGCTTGAGCAGGGGTACAACGGGGATCCGCTTACGTGCAACTTAGACCTTGAGAGGCCGGGGGTAGAGTCC